AAAATAAAATAAAAGAAAGACCCAAGTCCCTAGACAGATGAACAAGAATAAAAAGAAAGAAGGACAAAGAGAAAAAAGGAGGAGATGGAGGGAAGGAAATAAGTCTAGTGAGAAACCACAACACAGGCCTGAGGCTGGGTTGTAGGGAAATATTCTCTCAGCACCTTGGTCTAGGACTCTGAAAAAGGCAAACTTCTTCCCTTCAGATACCCCAGACTTAATAAACTGGAGGCTGAGATGACTTACATTCAGAATAACTCTTCTGAGCTATGAATTTTGGGACAAGAACAGTCATCAAATATTGCCAACTTCAGGGACAACAAGCACAGGGTTGTGTCTCACAATACCCACTGCTAAGGGATGGGGTTTTGGCCTTTGTCGGGGTGGTTGTCACTTAATCTCTGCTTCCTTGGCCAATCCTCACACCTTTATGTTTTTCCAGACAGATGTGCGTTTGCAATTCAGGAATTACCCTAAGCTATAACTTCCATATAGGGCACTACAAATGCTGAAGAGGCATGCCTAGGCAAGATACAGTATTTTTCCTTTTTCTTAGATTTCAAAAATTATCAAATCAAAAGACATCTTTCACCTTACCAGCTAGAAGTACAAATGGACCCTAAGCACACTGTGGAGCCATTTCTAACCGATCTAGACACAGAATTCTAACCTCTGCATATAAAAATAGCTTTTGAATTGGTGAATATCCTAACTGTCAACATAGAGCCTTCATCCAGTAACTGATGCAAGCAGATGCAGAGATCCAGCACCAGGCTAAGCTCCAGGAGTCCAATCAAAGAGAGAGAAGAGGGATTCTATGAGCAAGGGACAACAAGATCATGATGAGAAAACCTACAGAGACAAACCAAATCATGCTAGTGGGAACTCATGAACTTTAGACCAACAGCTATGGAGCCTCCATGGGACTGGACTAGGCCCTCTGCATAAGCAAGACAGTTGTGTAGCTTGATCTCCTTAAGGGGTCCCCTGGCAGTAGGATCAGGATCCATCCCGGGTGCAGTCCACTACCTATGGTGGGACACCTTGCACAGACTTGATGCAGGGGAACGAGCTTGGACCTGCTTCAAATGAATGTACCAGGCTCTTCTGATTCCCCATGGGAGCCTTACCTTGTTGGAGGAGGGAATGGGGTTTGGGTTGTAGGGGGAAGACTGGGGGTGGGAGGAGGTAAGAGAGTGGGATCTGTGGTTGGCATGTAAAATGAATAAAACTTCTTTTATTTTTTGTTTTTCAAGACAGGGTTTCTCTGTGTAGCTTTGCACCTTTCCTAGATCTCGCTCTGTAGACCAGGCTGGCCTTGAACTCACAAAGATCCACTTGCCTCTGCCTCCCGAGTGCTGGGATTAAAGGTGTGCGCCACCACCTCCCGGCTGCGAATAAAACATTTTAAAATAAAAACATAAATAAATAAAAAAGAAAATGCTCCAAAAGGGGGTGGGGGAGAAAGAATAGCGTTTGAGCCAACTTTATTTAGAAATTATTCAAGTATTTAGTGTATGTCTAAGAGGGGCTACATTTGAATAAAGTTCACCAGTTATTAATTGTCTTAATTAACTGGTTAAAAACAATGAATCTGGCCATTCCCTAAGGTAGTGGTAACTGAAGGGGGAAATTGAAAACAAAAAGTACCCCTCTAGTAAGAGTGTCTGTCTTTTTGACTATGTCAGAGTGTTTTGACAGGCTGATCTTGGTTTATTTAATACATACGGTGAGATTATTCAACACAAAAAAGACAAAAGTTCTCCAGAGTTTTAATCCTGAAAACAGACAACTTTACAACTTTATTTACTCAAGGACTCAAGTTAAAAAACAAATAAGCAATTAAACAACAACAATAAAAGCATGCTAAAGAAACCAAGAAAACAAAGTGACAGTTTGGAAGAAAATGGGAGCGTTCATGACTTTTCTAGGTTACCAGGTTCAAGTATAAACTTCCAGTTCCATAGCTGAAGGAAACAGAGACAAACTGGCTGGCTGTGGTTTTCTATTTTCTCTTCCTAGTGAAAACCTCTCTGCATAATTAAAAGCCATACACATCTCTGCCTGGTTCACTCAGTGTAACCCCAGAGGTCAGTCAAGCAGGTGTCTATGCTCTGAACTGAAAATGGAGGGGAGTCACTCTAAGAATGAGACCCAGCTCTGCCTACAATTCATCTGTGAAACATGAGGCTGGTGCTTTAAGGGTATCTGACACGGTCCATGGCTTGTTCCTTATTTTCTGTGGTGACACTAAGGAAAGTTTAGAGGCTTTCTGCAGGGATGCCACCTTGATGCTGTTAGTCTGTAAGTCACTCCTGGCTAATGCAACACTTAATAGAATTATTCTACCTCATTTATTGCTGTTATAGGGATATGAATGTAGACATGCAATGGAAGTAAATTAAATGACTGCTTCTTTCAGTAAGAATTGCAAACTACTTTTTCCTGTTCAGAAACTTCACCAATAATTTTTCTACTCTAAAACTATTTATGGCGAAGAACAACTACAGAGAATGTTTTTCTTGGATACCACTGAAAACATGCACCGAAGGGGCTATTTTACTACAAACAATACATTTTTTTTCAATTTCCCATACTAGTAGTATATAAAATAAGCACAATATTTGATTTTTTCTCTTAAAAAATTGTGGGCAGCCCTTAGGAGTGAATCCAATCTCTGGGTTTTGTACATGCTAGGCAAACACTATATTGTTTGAACCTCTCAGACTTGGGTTTTTGAGACAAGGATCTTGCTGTGTAACTCAGTCTGGCATAGAGCTGTTTTTTTTCTTTTTTGTCTGTTTAGTCTTATTCTTGAATAATGAAACATCTTTCTCAACCTAGAATTTCATTTTCATAGGTTGTCTATTCTAGGCAGGGAAATCTCAAATTGGGACCACAGAACATAGTTGTTACAAATATCCTTACCATTAATCTTTATGAAGTAGATATTATGGTCACTATGGATCTACTACTGAATCTAATGTGTTCATGAGAAAGTGCATGCAATATTACACCAAAGGTAGCTATTTCAATGTGTATATGGTAACTACATTGATATTCTTGGCAAACTTATGTATATAATTTTATGCACACCATTTTTGTAGTTACCAGTCTGTCAGATCAGTCTATGTCATGAAAAGATAAGTTTACATCCATTGGTTAGAAACTGTACCCAAAAGATAATGTAGGGTAAAACCCGAGAGTTGAGTATGGATTCAATGATTTGTAATAATGCCAATTTGGGAAGACTTTAAATTAGGTAACAGTTTCTGCAATCATAGGAGAAAGGAAAAAAAGAGGTATTCTCACATCTCAGAAATGGTATCTTATATATACATAAGGAATCATCATAAAGGCCAAGACAAGTCATCAAAGGTTATAGAGAAAAGCCCCTGGATAAACCTGGAACATGAAGACTTAAGACACAGAAGCCACATTGCTGAATGAAAAATAGAACTAGCCGGGTGGTGGTGGCACATGCCTTTAGTTCCAGCACTTGGGAGGCAGAGCCAGGTAGATCTCTGTAAGTTCAAGGCCATCCTGGTCTACAGAGCAAGATCCAGGACAGGCACCAAAACAACATGGAGAAACCGTCTTGAAAAAAACCAGAAAAAAGAAAAGAAAAGAAAAATAGAATTAAACTAAACAAAATGAAATTTGCTGCAAGAGAAACTCTTAGGGCTATTAGGAGCATAGGGAGCAATAGAAGAGCTAAAGAATAGAATGCATGCAGAATGGCCAGAGGCAGAGACTTGGAAGGAAGGCAATGGAATGCTAGAGTATGGCAATGAAGGAGAATTTTTCTGTAGATAGGAAAGCTAAATTGTGCACAATCTGCATCCTTCCTCCCTCAGTCATCAATTCTCTTACCTTACAGTTATGTCACCTTTGTGACTTTGTTCCCTCATTTAAATAAAAGGTAGGTAATGATTATATTACCAGATGCAGATTAAATAGAATGGTGTAGAGACTATGCTTCATGAACATGGATGTAATTAAACACATCCAACATATAACAGCTAACAAGCAAACCCAAGACATGAGTAGAAATCAAGGGCACTAACGATCAGAACCTTTGACTATAACAAAGACTGAATATTCCCAAATGTTTCTCAAGGCCAATGATGTGTCAATTAACTCATTCCTCAGTTGGGTCACAAGGCCTACTTTAAAGTAATTTTAGTTCCATTTTACAGATGAGAAATGTCTATATGAAAACAAGCAAGAAAAGAGCCCAGAGAAGAATTCCCAAGGGAGCCAAGGTCCACAGAGTGTTGGTCAGAGGACTCTAGAAGCACAAAAGGTGACTTTGCATCCATCTTCTCTATGGTGTTACTCCCTGCTGTATTTTGGAATTGAGTCTTTGTTCCCATTGTCAATCCTTTGCTACTGTATTCATCTGATAGATGCAACCATATAGGATTCTTATCCACTTGGGACAACACGTATCTAGAAGATGTAGTTTTAATCCACATCTCCCAAGAGAAGAACTAGATGTAAATCTGTGTCCACAGCACAAACTCCTTTTTTTCTTGAGTTTGTTCTTATCATTGGAACCATTCTTTGCCTAATGTTAAAGTTACTTTAGACTTAAAGTTTTTCCTATAGTGGGTTAAGCTCCTCTCTCTGTGCCTTTGTTGGAAAATGTGATGAGAGAGATGAGTGTTATCTTGAAAGTTTACTTGTGAAGAGAGGAGAATGAAAAGACAATAAGTTAAAAAAAAGTTTTTTGTTGAAGGAGGAGCCAAAAAAGAAAGAATGGTCCCATATCTAAAATGTATTATCATAAACTCAGTGTACAGTTACTGCTGACCCTCCCATGACCTGGCTCCACCCATGAGGACCACAGGTCAGACTGACCAATAGCTTCAAAGAATCGTGCAGAACAAAGGGCTAGAACATAGTCCGTGAAGAATAAAAGGCCATCACTTTTAGCAGCAGCATGTATCTGTTTCTGGCACTCCTGTGATCAGCAGCAAGCTCCTAGACCTGACATCATGGTGAACTTCACTGCTGAGGAAAAGGGTCTCGTCAATGGCCTGTGGAGTAAGGTGAATGTGGAAGATATTGGTGGTGAAGCCTTGGGAAGGTAAGAATTGGTTGTTGATTCATCTGGGAGGAGGGTGAATAGTACTTCGGACAATTAGCCAGGAAAGTCAAGAATTCTGAAGATCCCTGATTTTTCCACTTTCTCCTCCTATTTCACAGGCTTCTTGTTGTGTACCCATGGACCCAGAGATTCTTTGACAGCTTCGGGAACTTGTCCTCTGCCTCTGCCATAATGGGCAACCCAAGGGTCAAAGCCCATGGCAAGAAGGTACTGACTTCTCTTGGAGAAGCCATTAAGAACCTAGACAACCTCAAGTCTGCCTTGGCTAAGCTCAGTGAGCTGCACTGTGACAAGCTACATGTGGATCCTGAGAACTTCAAGGTGAGTTCAGGGCAAGCTCACAAACTTATTTTGCATTTGTTTTGGGGACAAAAATGGAAGCTGGGCATATGAGTGATGGTGATACCAACATAGATCTCAAAATTCATTGGTCTAGGCAGGAAAACAGTGAATCGCTGTAAGAAGCCTAAATTAGTTTACAGGCGTTTAGAAAATTTTGTCATGATAGAATTTTGTTGTACTTATCATGGAGAGTTATGAAAAAGAACTGCAGATCTGTACAAGAAGAAATGGGAACTGGAGAGGAAAAACAGCTTAACTTCTGTAGGTCCTAATGATTGATGTTGAAGAAAAGATTTGGGATACATTTTAAAGATGAAATTTTTCTATCAACATTATTAAAATGTGTTAAATTCCCAAGCAAATACCATGACAAGTGGAGACTTGTTCCTACATTGGTGGTAGTTTTAAAACTCCCCCAAGAGCACTTGTAGGACAGAAATTCTGTATTTACAGATATTATACAATTAGTGAATGGGAAAAGTAACAAGAAAGGCAAATAAATATAATGGGAAGAGGAGAAAGTGTGAGAATTCAGACAGAGCAGTGGTGAGTGGGAAGATAGAGATACAATAGAAAATTGAACCTATGCTCATCAGAGATGACTAAATTGGGAGTTTGATGCTGAATGTGTTAGTATATAGGCTCAAAACATTTCTTTGCTTTTCATGCATATTCTTTTCTGAACCAGTATTTAACACACCAATCTGTTTATTTTGTCTTTTCTCAAACAGCTCTTGGGCAACGTGTTGGTGATTGTTTTGGCTGGTCACTTCGGCAAGGAATTCACGCCTGAGGTGCAGGCTGCCTGGCAGAAGGTGGTGGCTGGGGTGGCCAACGCTCTGTCCCATAAGTACCACTGAGCCCTCTACCTGTCCAGCAATCCTGTGTGTCCCCTACTACATCTTTCTGCACATGAGAAATGGACTGATCCTTGAGAACACAGATTGTTTAATAAAGATCATTCATCCCAGTAATCAAAAAGTCATTTTTGTCTTGTCTATTTTTTCCTTCAGTGCTAAAGAAAAATGTTTGATGGGTTTGTGGGAGAGGGGAAGTACAGGAAGACACCCGAGTTTCTCTGAAAACTGGAAGGACTCAAGAGAGGAAAGTAGATGCCATTGAAGGCTTCTACTGGCCCAGGGAGAGGCTATAGCTGGGAAAGAATTCTCAAAGAGGAGAAGGAATTGTGTGTGGAACATATAGAAACTTACTGTAGAGGGTGAAGAAAAGGATAAGTATCTCATGGCAGGTTGTGACATATCCCATTTCGATTAAGAAAAAGCTTTAGAGATCCAAGCTCTAAGATAGGATTATTATTTAAATTATTTAATGTACATTTTCTTCCTAAAAGGATTTAATGGATAACCAATTAGTATGCTTTTCCCTGAGGAAGACTATTTCCCTAGCTCTCAGCATACTTTAGTTGCCTGTAATTCTTTGTATGTGGTTGAAATCTCATGGACTTTCTCCCATTCATGTTAGTGTGTCCCACAAGAAACTCCTTGATCCTCTGACTCTTACAATCTTTTTTCCTCTTCTGCAGTGTTCCCTGAGCCTTAAGTGTGGGAGTGTTTTGTAAATGTATTCACTGGAACTGGGTTCCACATCTCTGCATTTTGATTGGTGGTAGATTTCTGTAGTGCTCTCCATCTATTGCAAAGAGAAGCTCGCTGAACGAGGGGTGAAGATTACACTTACATATACATGTATGCAATAACAATTAAAGACAAAAGAAGACATAAATTTGACAGAGAGAAAGGAAGGTATATAGAAGAGTTTGGATAGAGAAAAGAGAAGTGAGATATGTTGTAACTACATCACAATTTCCAAAATGTTTTTTAAAAAGATTTATTATTTTAAGTTTATGAGTCTGTGTGTATGTACTCAGAATTTGTGCTTGTGTATGTGTGAAAGGAGGTGCTCCTGGGAGCCAGAACTATTATTTTCCACTAGAATTGGGATGCACAAGGTAATTTGGCTATGTTGGCAGATCTGTATATATTACTATGCTCTCACAAATGTCTTTTGTTAAAGATAACATAGTTGATTCTCTCTCAGACTGTATGTTCTCTACTGACACACCAATACAAATTCCTTCCACCACTATATAGGAAGAGCAAAAAACTATGAAAGCTGTATAAGGAAGTCACTCCTAGGGATGAAGGTCCTAATGTATGATTCTGTCCTAGCAGAGGCAGTGCATGTGGACTATTACTGGATGAAAATATCCCAATACTTCAGAGTTATTTTGTGAACACACAAAAAGTGAAGACAGAGCCTGGTTGAACAACCTGAAAGGTCAATCACTCAGCATTCTCAGTCCTCAACCTGCCATGAGCACAGAGAAGGCTGAACCCACAACCTGCATCACCAGGCAGCTACACTCTTCCAGTGGGAATGCCAGCAGCATGGTGACTACACAGTCCATTCACAGGGTGGAAAAGGCTATCATCTACACACAGCAGATTGCTCTACTTCAAAGTGAAATGGAGGCAAATGTAGAGACATGCTCTACTACACCACAGTAATCTATTCCTACTCAGAAACAGAACTGCTTTCCCAAGGCTGTGGGGAACTAGGGAGACCATGGGCTAAACTTATAGAAAATGCATCCGGTGGTTTGCACACCACTTCTTTACCATACATAGCTTCTGAATAAGGGGCATATTTCTGCCACTCAGGTCCTGGTTCCCAGGCCTAAAGAGAGCCTCGTACTCTCTGAGGCTTTCCCACGTTTGCTCATGCTTCAGCTTTAATCTGATGGCCCCTATAAGGCTAGAGACAGAAAGGAAAGAGTGTGAAAGACACCCTTGCAAATCTTCTGTTGGGAGGAGAAGGGACTGAAGAAAAGGAAAGAAGGAAAGAAAGAGAGAAAATACTATGGAAACTTCACCAGGAGGGTCTCCTCCCATGAGGGAAGGGGCCTACTTGACACTATCTTAGTGGGAATGCTATCTACACCTTACTCCACTGGACCCCACCCCTGTCTTGCCCAGCCTCTCTTGACCAATAGCCTCAGAGTCCTGGGGAGGGGGGAAGGGGTGCAAAGTCCAGGGTGAAGAATAAAAGGACAGGCCTTCAGCCACTTGAACACACTTGCTTCTACACACCTGAGATCATCTCCAAGCCTCTAGACCTGACACCATGGTTCACTTCACAGCTGAGGAGAAGGCAGCTATCACAAGCATATGGGATAAAGTGGACGTGGAAAAAATTGGAGGGGAAACCCTGGGAAGGTAGGATCTGAGACCAGGGCAGGGGAGAAATGGAGGGGAAATTGTTCATGGTAGAAATATATAGGTTTCCTTTAGGGGTTTGTGACACATTCTGACTTTTAACTGCTTATGCCCTGTGTCTTAGGCTCTTGATTGTCTACCCATGGACTCAGAGATTCTTTGACAAATTTGGAAACCTCTCTTCTGCCCCGGCCATCATGGGTAACCCCAGAATCAGAGCCCATGGCAAGAAAGTGCTGACATCCCTAGGCTTGGCGGTTAAGAACATGGACAACCTCAAGGAGGTTTTTGCTCATCTGAGTGAGCTGCACTGTGACAAGCTTCATGTGGATCCTGAGAACTTCAAGGTCAGTTTGGAACATGCTCATCTGCTCAGTTTAAGTATGACATGGGCAGAGGAATTAATGCTAAGAGCGTGATTCCTAGTGCTTATGTTCCTAGTGCTTATGCTTGCTTCCAGGAATCTGTTCCTCATATTGAGTTGCCTTGTCCAGTCTTAATACAAGGGCAGGAGCTTAGTCCTACCTCAACTCGATATGCCATGCTTTGTTAATACCCACGGGAGGCCTGCCCCTTTCTGAATAGAAACAGAGGGGTAGACAATGGGGGAGGAAGAGGGAGGTGGAGCAAGGGAATGGGAGGAGAGGAAGGATGAGAAACTGTGGTCCAGATGAAAAAGAAATGAAGAAATTTAATTAATCATAAAAAAGAGTATGATTGGTTATGCTGGCCCAGATCTCAAAATATGTAGGACCAAATCTAGTATTAATGAATTGCTAGAAACGTTTCCTATAAATCTGCACATATTCAGCAAAGTGTTTTAGACAGACATGTGGTGTAACTCAGTTGGTGGAATGCTTTTCCAGGGTACAGAAAGTCTGAGACTCAATGATTACCAAAGGACAAAAAGGAGCAGACTTCTGGAGTTGGTTACAAAACCTCCCTACTTTATTTCCTTAAAAGGAATTAGCACCTATGTGGAAGCAAAAATAGCATTTGAAATTGAAATTTAGTTTTAGAGAAGGAGAAATACATTATTTATGTGTATTCTAAATGATTGACACTTCACGAAAGATATGAGAGAAAAGTAGACAGATTTTTCTTATTGCTTTGATGAACTTTCTAAAAAGTATTACAGTCCTAATGAGCAAAAGCATAAGAAGTATCCACCTTCTTCATTAGTGAAGACTTAAACTCTAGTAAACATGCTGTTGCACCAAAATCCTGCATTTATTGAATCCAGGCCATTGGTGAACAAGAAAAGGAGTAAGCAACATAAAAAAGGTGGACTACAAAAACAGAAGGGAGCAAGGAGGGCATGTGAACAGTGAAACTGAACCAACCTCCTCGTTAGAGTGAATAGATAATTGGGGATTGGAGTCCTCAGGGAATATAACGTAAAAATATTATTTTTTCATGCAAATTCTTTTCTGTATCTTCTTTTCTCACTTTTGTGTATCTTTTTTGTGTTTCTTCTCACAGCTCCTGGGTAACATGCTGGTGATTGTTCTTTCTTCTCACTTTGGCAAGGAATTCACGGCAGAGGTGCAGGCTGCCTGGCAGAAGTTGGTGGCTGGTGTGGCCAATGCTCTGTCCCACAAGTACCACTGAGCCCCCTTTCTTGATGAGCAGCACTGCTATGCGCCTCTCAGGCTCATCCTACACAAGACCACCTTGTTGGGATTTGAAACTTGAGCTTCTGCTTAATAAAGTCCATTCTCTTCAGTAACCCAAGAGTCATGCTTTGTTGTGTATGTTTCTCACTATTGTGTTAAAGAAAGAAGGTTGATGGGTGCATGGTAGTCAGGAGGCACCACAGGACACCAGAGTGAAAACTGTATCGGGACCCAGAAGAGGAAAGTAGATGTTATGGGATTTTTCTAGGGTGTCAAGGAGGATGAAGAGTTGAGAAGAATTCTCATGTAGGAAAGCAAAGGGTTAATTCCCTGGAGAAGGAATCATATGGACAGTTGCTAAAACTTAGTGCAGAGGGTGAAGAAAAGCATGGCAAATGATAACCTGCAGGTTGTGATATGTATCTTTTCATTAAGATAAAGCTTCTGACAGATCTAATGTCTAAGCTGAGATAATTAATGCACTCAGATTTTTTATTTTATTATTTATTTATTTATTGTTTTTCGAGACAGGGTTTCTCTGTGTAGCTTTGCGCCTTTTCCTAGAACTCACTTGGTGGCCCAGGCTGGCCTCGAACTCACAGAGATCCGCCTGGCTCTGTCTCCCGAGTGCTGGGATTAAAGGCATGCGCCACCACCGCCCGGCAGATTTTTTATTTTTAAGAAATGATTTATTTCATTTTTAATCATGTGTCTCTGTGCCTGTCACTGGTTTTGTGCATGTGAGTGCAAGAGTCTAATGACTGAGGGATCTGAAAGCAGAGATCCACGGCTAGGCCCCGGGTGGAGCTCCGGGAGTCCAATTAGCGAGAAAGAGGAGGGTCTACATGAAAAACAATTGTTGAGACCAATGTTGGATAAAGCACAAGGACAAATAGCCAAACGAATGGAAACACAGGAACTATGAACCAATGGCTGAGGGGTCCCCAACTGGATCAGGCCCTCTGAATGGGTGAGACAGTTGATTGACTCGATCTGTTTGGGAGGCATCCAGGCAGTGGGACCGGGTCCTGTGCTCATTGCATGAGTTGGCTGTTTGAAACCTGGGGCTTATGCAGGGTCGCTTGGCTCGCCTGGGAGGAGGGGACTGGCCCTGCCTGGACTGAGTCTACCAGGTTGACTCAGTCCTCGGGGACTTCTCCCACCTGGAGAAGGTGGGAATGGGGGGTAGGCTGGGGGGAAGGGGAGGGGGGGCGGGAGGGGGAGAACAAGGGAATCAGTGGCTGACATGTAGAACTGAATGGTACTGTAAAATAAAAATAAATAAATAAATAAATAAATAAATAAAAGAGTCTATGGCAGCTAGAAGCTCAGGTCCCACTGGAACTGGAGTTACAGGTGGTTGTGACTGCCTGCCATGGGTGCTGGGAACTGAACTCATTTCCTCTGAGAGTGTATGTACTCTTAAACACTGAGCCATCATCTCTCCAGCTTCAAGTGTACATTTTCCAGCAGATACTTTATCAGGTGTCCTCTGAAGCTGATTGCAAGAAAACGGACAAATTGATAGAGAGCAGTGAACATTTAAGGCAATGTTTCAATGAAACCACTATAGCAGGCTTGCATTTTGAAGGAATTCATTGTCTCAATGATGAATCAAAGCTAGGAGACACAGTTCACTGCAATTTTCTGTAGGGCTGTAATGAGCAACGAGATGGTGATAGAGAAAGGATAGAAGTAGGACCTTGTCAGGTCAAGTGGGGACAATGAAGATTTCATACATGGGAAGTCTCCATGAATGCTAAAACTTTCTGTAATCTAAAGCCAGTGAACTAGGTCTTAATGATTTATAAAAACTAGAGGGTGTTGAAGAGGTAAAATATTGGCAAAACTAGGCAACAGAGACTTTGATTATAAAAATCTCAATTTTAATACTTTATTGGGTAGGAAACAAAAATGGATAGGAAACCTGGTGACACCTGCTTATCATCCCACTACTTGAAAGGCTAAGCAAAGTGTCACAGTTTCAAGGGCTGCCTGAACTACAGTTTTAAGGCCAACCTAAGAACTTAGTGAGTTCCTGTCTCAGAATTAATAATAAACCTTGGTCTGATGATGTAACACAGTGTGGAGCATTGACTTAACATGTGGAATGCCAGAGATTCAATTCCCAGTACCACTAAACTAAAAACACTAAATGAATTGATTAGTAACCAATAAACAGTCTCAGGAAAGTGGACTGAAGAAATGGGACTATTGAGAAAAATATTCTCCTTATGAATTCAAAATTGATTTAAATTCTCAGGAGCTGGTTGTCATACTGATTTAAACGTTTAAAATAAAGAGGTGAAACAAGACATGCAACCAGTGGCGATGACCAAGGGTGGTATGGACAGACATGGTGTGAGATTTACTAATATATGAGAAGAAAACAAGAGATGGTGGAGGATGAAATTGTAAATCCTGGGTGGTTATAACTACACAAAGTGTGCATGGACTTAAGACACTCATATGGGTGAATGACACTTGAGAGAGAGTCTAAAGTTGCTCAAAGACATTCAAGCCTTGAGTCTCATGTCAGGGTTTGGGATCTTTAAATGGTAGAGGTTGGAGGGTAACATCTTGGCAAACAACTCTATTTCATCCTCTCCTGACTCCATATATTTGTCAGAGTATGACTGGTGGATGATATTTTAAGTTGTCTTTGTCTACTTTAAAGATGTGGGAAGAATGATTCTTGTAGTTTCAGGCTACCAACAACATTGACCTTTCTGGTCCTGCTAGCTTTTCAATGTGTCACGAAAAGAAAAAAAGAAAAAAAAAACAGGCTTTGTATAAGGCACTCAAATTGGTTTTCACTGGGTCTGTCAATAGATGAGACAATGCCCACTTTTATCAATTTATTTTTTTTCTTCTTGCCATCCCTAATGTTTCAACCCTAGATGTCAGCAGATAAAGGATGATAATTATGCAGTGGTGGGAAGAAGAAACATTTTCCATCTGTTTGAGAGCTAGATATAGATATGCTTACTACCACTCCAATGTGAAAAAACAAGATAACCAGAAAATAACTTTTAATATATTCACACACATATTCACATATACAGGTCAGGATGATACCAAACTTTGGTTTATTTGTATTACTTCTGGAGACAAGGCCACAGTCTGTACCATGGGTGACCTAGAACTTCCTATGAAGACTGTGATGACCTCAAACTCACAAAGATATGTCTGCCTGTTTCCTGAGTGCTGGGATTAAAGACACATGTTATTATGTGCAGCTGATGATGAGATATTTTAACAACAAAAGGGTAACTTTTTGATAGTATAAGTTTACAATAAAATAGGCTTGAGAGAAATACTATATCCCTGAACAGTATTTCATCAGAAGTGAGCAATATTTAGAGGTTATGCCATAACAGCTTCTCATCTCTACCATGAAAGGCGAGTTCCCCACTTTCATTAGATTGTGAGTGCACTGCAGCAACATGCCTGCCATGGTCCACCTTGGTTATTTATGTATTCACTGCACAGGATGTTATCTGTGCTACCATCACACAAATGCTCTTTTTTCCCTTCTTCAGAACACTGAATTTACTATTACAACATTTTTTTCTCCAGGAACTTCCTATGACAGGTTACTTATAGTCATTCTGGATACAGAAAAGTTAATTCCTCATGATACAGAAAACTGATTATGACACCACCGTTAACTTTCTTTCTAGGAGAAAAATATGTAAAAATACTCTTTGTTTGATTTACTTATTCATTTCTGTATTTTATATCTCCTACATCTAGTGAATGAGCCTAAAGTTTTATTCTGTCATTCATATATTATAAACCCCCAGGACTGATAATAATTGTAACATTGTATGGAACACAGAATGATTAAGTGAAAGTTGACATTACATGGACTAGATGTCATAAAGAAACTGTGTACAGATTCTGACTCAACATGACATGGGGAACATGGAGGGTGTATTGACAGGCATGAACTCATTAATAAAACTTAGAAGGAAATTGCCCCAGAAATCTGAGGACAGCAGTGATTACAGATGATTCCTGGGTCAGTATTTAGGTTTCTTGAAAGATGGTGGTTATTTTTTTTCAGACATGTAGGATCACGAATTTCACTAGAGTCTGTTGAAGAGCAACTGAGACTAGTTAAGATCATTGGAAGATTGGACTAGGACTTCCAGGTCTCTCCCAAGATCAGACCACGGAGACAGAAGCTAAAGGAGTATGTATGTGTATATCTGCCATCTCACAAATGACTTTAAAAAAGAACATAGCTGGTTCTTGCTCATACTGTGTGCTTTTTACTGCACACCAATAAAAATCTCTATCCATAACTACATAGAGACAACTAAAAATCTATGAAAGCTGTAGCAGGAAGTCACTCCTAGGGATGAAGTTCCTAATGTGTGATTCTGTCCGAGCAAAGGCAGTGCATGTGGACTGTTACTGGATGAAAATATCCTGATACTTCAGAGTTATTTTGTGAACACACAAAAAGTGAAGACAGAGCCTGGTTGAACAACCTGAAAGGTCAATCACTCAGCATTCTCAGTCCTCAACCTGCCATGAGCACAGAGAAGGCTGAACCCACAACCTGCATCACCAGGCAGCTACACTCTTCCAGTGGGAATGCCAGCTGCATGGTGACTACACAGTCCATTCACAGGGTGGAAAAGGCTATCATTTACACACAGCAGATTGCTCTACTTCAAAGTGAAATGGAGGCAAATGTAGAGACATGCTCTACTACACCACAGTAATCTATTCCTACTCAGAAACAGAACTGCTTTCCCAAGGCTGTGGGGAACTAGGGAGACCATGGGCTAAACCTATAGAAAATGCATCTGGTGGTTTGCACACCACTTCTTTATCATACATAGCTTCTGAATAAGGGGCATATTTCTGCCACTCAGGTCCTGGTTCCCAGGCCTAAAGAGAGCCTCGTACTCTCTGAGGCTTTCCCATGTTTGCTCATGCTTCAGCTTTAATCAGCTGGCCCCTGTAAGGCTAGAGACAGAA